ACAAATCTCCTCCACCACCTAAGAAAGACTACGAATATAAGTCACCTCCACCACCCAAGGAGTACAAGTACAAGTCTCCTCCACCCCCAGTTAAGATGCCGTCACCGCCCTATTACATCTATGCGTCACCTCCACCGCCTCCCTACCACTATTAGATCTCTATGCCTTTTATTACTACATGAAGGTATGTTTCTTATAAATCTAGTCCTCATTATACTTTCATTAAGATATAACCTATTGTATCAAATAACGTTATCTCTTATTGTTTCTTGCAGTAAAATGAAGAAAATATTCATATCAAATAAAGGGACGGCCTATGAAGATGATTACTACACACAAAGCAAGGCCTCCATCTCTAGTTATTTATGCGATGTAATAATCCATGTTTATTTAAAGATTTAGTTTTGGTGTATTCATATATATTCAACATTATTATTGAGGAGTTAATAATGAGGTTCCAAAGCTATAGTCAATAATTTCCAATGTTCAGTAATAGTAGCAAACTTAATAGTTAGAAATCTGCTATAGAACTATGTTAAGTTTAAGGTATTAAAACTTTAAACACAAGTTTCATCGCATCATGTCATCCATCTTAATAAGATGATGAGAAATAATATTTACTCTAACAATACGATTTCAAGATTATAGAGAAAACTTAATAAAATAGCTAGAAATTTTCTTAGTAATGAGCAAAATTTTACATTATGATCTTTTATATCTATCATCTTTTAATTCTAAAAACTTATAGGGGGAATTTTGAAAGAAAACTTTAACATCTCAATATTTTTATATATTTTTCTTAATACAAGACCAAGTTGTTCTCTTGTTTCTTGAGAAGTCTTTCGTTGTACTTCGGCTTTAAATTAACAATTGAATATTTTGATAACCTAAAAAGTTTTAATTATGTGAAATATATTTAAGGTTTCTTTTATCGCCCACACCCATAAATCATAATGCATTTGGATGGATGTCAAAAAAGATTTCTAATCATAATTTTATGTGTTTGTTTTATTATAGTATAAGATGTTATATAATATTATTAGCTAGATCTAATGTTATTTGAGTTATTAGATTTAGATTTAAGATATTATTTTTGAATTAGATTTCCCATTTACATTATGGTTAAGAATTATATTAGTATAAAATAGTTTACTAGGCTTATATTTAAAGCCATTCAATTCAATCCAATTCAATGAAATTCTATTGGTTATATTTTCTCTATTTTCTCTATTTTCTCTCCACCCTAAAATTAACATGATGTCAAAGCCTTCAAAAGTTAACATCATTGCTTTAACCGAAAAAAATCGATTAAACCAATACGATCTTCAAGAACACTCAAAGATAAGGATCCTTCTAAAAAGAGTTAGCACTCTGAAGGTCTTATCAGTCCATAATATAATTTTACTCAATAAATCTTAATATCAAAGTTCGCCTACCTTTTGTTTTTGATTTAAGGATATCTATAGAGAGTCTAGATAACCCTTGATGTAAAGGATTCAAAATCACCCTTAACCTCGAGATTTTAGGCGTGAAATACGCATTAAGGGTGAGATATGGTTACACGGTTATTTATTCGAACGTTGGAACCAAATTCGGATATTCCTATAACATAAATAATTGAGTTCGACAATTGTATTACATAAGTTCTCCGAATTGGGCTTCCGAACTCTCTCCTTGCGAGATCCATACACGTGGCTTCCTGTCAAACTGTCGATGATGTGTCCTTTAGGCGGAAGCACTCAAAAAGGGGACGAAATTTCACCTTTATCAATCATAGAAACAAAGGCCTCTCGACCATCAACCTGCACATGATGCACAATCAAACCACTCAGTAGCGTGAATAAAACAAACCAAAGTGAAACTATTAAAATAGTAGATAAATTAAAGCTTAAAACGATATAGCTGAGTTTGTAACATTAAAAAAAAGATGTTGCTTAAAAATAGAAAAAAAGATATTGCTTAAAAATAGAAAAAAAGATAAGGCATGAATTATTCTTAAACCAAGTCAAATACATAGATGTACGGTTTTTTTCCCCTGTATGGAATATGGAGGATAAGACTTAGGAGGAAAAGTAAAAGTTAAAAAATATGAGATACTAATATCTTCTTACAAAAATTGGGAAATCATCAATAACTATCGATATTTATGGAATTTCATCTCAAAATTAATTGGCAATGAGAGAAGTAGCTCATCTCTATTATAAAATTTTTTTATCTTTTCGACGACGATCCTTAAACAAGAACATCAGTGTTGGGATTTGGATTCAAAATAAAAAGGAAAAAAAAAAGAGTGAAAGCTAAATAATGGGCCAAAAGCCAAATTTAAGTTTGCCCTATTTTTTCATATATATGTGTGTGGCCGCCAATCAAAGTGAGAAGTCGTGGGTTTTAATTCCAAATCAAAGGGGGCAACTGTGAGTATTCTTTAACATCGATTTGGGAGTTTTTGTGGTAGAATTTTGAGGCGGCGGCTCAGGATTGTTGGCAGCATAGGGGCACGTCAAGATCATCGTATTCGGGGTATTGTATCTTGATTCTATTGTGAGTTTTCATTCCTGTACCTAAGAATTATTGGGGTTAAATACTTATAAAGTTAGGGGACTTTTGTTGGAACCTCCAAGGGATATTTTTTGGTAGAGTTTTAATGTAATCCAATTCTTGATAATATTAGTGAATTACCCACATCTGAGTGGAAGACTGGACGTAGCGCTTAGTTGGTGAACCAGTATAATTTTGTTGTGTCGTATTCTTGTGTTTTACAGTTTCTTCCTTATTTGCATATTTTGGTGTGTGTTTGGATATTCCTGTGGAAAGAAAAATTATTCAGGGTCATTAATTTCCAAACAAGTGATATTAGAGCATAGGTTGCAGAATCATGGGAGACAAATATCATGCACATCACTACTATGAAGGGGTTCTGAAGTTCACTTGAGAGAATTTCAGTTTTTGGAAGATGCAAGTAAAGGATATTCTTACGTGCAAGAAGATACACAAGACTTTGGATAAGCATGACGTTGCAAACATCACGATGTGTTTAACGATGAGTGTATCTAACGTCGTGGCAAACGAGACGACAATGAAAAAACTGATGCAGGCCTTGCAAGATAGGTATGAGAAACCTTCTGTCAACACCAAAATACTTCTTTGGACGAAGTATTTCAATATCCACGTGAAAGAGGGAACCTCGGTGAATTCCCACATTAATAAGCTCACCGACATATTGAACAAACTGGAAGGGATGAATATCAAGATCGATGAGGAGGTGAAGGCTATGAGGCTGCTAACATCTTTGTCTGATAGTTGGGATACGATGAAGACCACGGTGTCGAATTTGTTGGGGGATAATAATCTGAAATTTACAACTATTTGTGATGCTGCCTTATCTGAGGAAACCCAAAGAAAATTGAGGAGTGTCTGCATCTACTTTAGGGGCAGGAAATGGGGTCGAATCAGCTATGGTAGTTTAGAACAAGGGGAAGGGCAAGATGAATTACACAGGGAAGCAGCAGCAGAGAAATAACAGGGCTAGTGGGAGTTTCAGCGGAGAACTGGAGTGTTATTACTGCCACAAGAAGGGACACATTAAACGTTTTTGCAGGAAATTTAATGAAGAGTTTGGGAAAGGAAACAACACTGCAAATGTTGTAACAGAAGAAGAAACGAATTTAAGAGTTTCTAGCTTGTGTTGAGAGGAAACATCTATAGACCATTCATTAAAGTGGGTAGTGGAAACTGCAGCATCAGCACATGTTACTTTAGACAGACGTTGGTTCTCATCTTTTGCTGTAGGTGACTATGGCTCAGTAAGGATGAGGAATGATAGTCTCTCCAAGGTGAGAGGAATTGGAGATGTTTGTTTGAAGACAGGTGAAGAGGTCGAATTGGTGTTGCTAGACGCAGGTATATTCCTAGTTTTAGATTTAATTTGTTATCCGCAAGGAAGCTTGACGATGATGGCTACAATAGTGAGTTTGTTGGAGATTGCTAGAAGCTCAGGAGGGAATCCAGGATAGTGGTGACAGGCCACAAGAGATCTTTTGTTTATGTGTCAAAGTTTGGGGTTGCCAAGGGTTCACTGAGACAGAGAATGCACAGAGTAGCTACATATAGTTCAGGACGAGTCCTTAAAAGACCAGCAGCATTGATGGCCATAAAAGATCATAAGAATCTGTCATCAGCTCAAGTTAAATAGTTGGAAAGTACAGAAAAAGGAAATGGGAATTTGATAGGCCATCGAGTTCATACCTTAGCTGTCAGACGTTCAGGTGAGCTACTAAAGTCGAATATGCAAATTAGTGCATCGAAGGATACGAGTTCTATTTCTAGTGTGGCGACATGCTTGGGTGGGAGTGTCAAGCCTAATGTAGAGAGTAAAACTTCTTTCAGAGGTCAGTGGGCTCGATCGAAGAAAGAAGCAGTGGGAACCACTTAGATCAAGTGGCAGTACGTGGCTTATGTCTCTTATTTTGGGGGACAATGCTACGTAAAGCTGTCTAGTCTCGGGGTAGAATCAGGCACAGCTTGGGACGGCCGAGCAGTGTGGATCAGTTCGTTGACAGAGTAGTTAGAACTAAGCCTCGGCAGAGTTGTCAAGATGAGAGGACACTATTGTTGCAGTGGGAACCCAAATTGTTATTTTGTCTCCAAGCCGGAGATTGTTGGGATTTGGATTCCAAATAAAAGAAAAAAAAAAGATAGTGAAAGCCAAATAATGGGCCAAAAGCCCAAATTTAAGTTTGTCTTATTTTTTGTCATATATGTGTGTGGCCGTGAATCAAAGTGAGAAGTCATGGGTTTTTTTTCCAAATCAAAGGGGGCAACTGTAGGTATTCTTCAACGGTCGATTTGGGAGTTTTTATAACAGGATTTTGAGGCGGTTGCTCGAGATTGTTGGTGCAGAAGGGCACATCAAGATCATCATATTTGGGATATTGTATCTTGATTCTATTGTGAGTTGTCATTCATGTACCTAAATATTATTAGGGTTAAATACTTAGAAGCTATGGGATTTTTAATTTATTGGGACTTCTAGAGGATATTTTTGGGGAGAGTTTATTGTAATCAAATTCTTGACAATATTAGTGAATTACCCACATCTAGTCGAAGACTAGACGTAACCCTTAGTTGGTGAACCAGTATAATTTTGTTGTGTCATATTCTTGTATTTTACAGTTTCTTCCTTATTTGCATATTGTGGTGTGTGTTTGGATATTCTTGTGGAAAGGAAAATTATTCAGGGGCCATTAATTTCCCAACAATCAGAACGAAGATATCCATTCTTGAATAGCTTTTTCATATGCATCTTAAAATTTAATAAATATTTAAGAAATTTTACCATAGAACGAGACAACTAAATAAAGGCCCATTGGAGTAGAGTCCATAATTTTGAAATTAGCAAATCAGAATTCATTGTTGAAGTTAAACAATGAAGTTAGAGTTCGAGTTTCTTAAGTTAATACAATCTATATAAATCAAA